TAGGAGGTGTTATTTCCCTTCTTGGCATCAGGCGAAGGGTGGCTAAGGAGCGAAACCATGATGGAGTGACTGATTGCTCCTGCGCTGCGTAGGCACTGGGGCCAACTGGGTAATCTCACCCTAACCATCTGTGAGCCCCAGCTGTACCTGGGGGCAGCAGCAGGCCTCACTCGCCACCCCTCACTGGGAACCTGAGTTCTGAGCACATTTCCACACCATGACGGTAGCTAACTGTATTTCTGGAGCCTCAGGCCTGGTGTGTTAGGCCTCTCTGGCCCTGGTCCTTGGTCCCAGCAGGTATAGGCAGGCCCGGGGCTTGGGATGGGGCAGGCCTTCCAGAGATGCCCCATATAAATCCATGTTCAAGGACCCAAGTGGGATGGAACATCTCTTGACCATTCTTTCACTATAAATCTCCAGGCTCAGGATATAGTTCCCCTCTCCTTGCAAGAAATGAAGAATATGGCACATGAACAGTCGGTACCAAGGCCCACCTGTCTCCTGCCCACTGAGCTCTGCTCTCCCTCCTCTCCCCACAGGGGCTTCACTGTCTTGGAGCTGTTGGAGGCTGCAGGGGCAGCTGCTGGTGCTGGAGGCCTCCATGAGCATCAGCCCACGCTGGTAGAAACTTGCTTCCTGGGAATCAGAAGAGCACTGTAAAGGGATCCTCTCTTCCACTATGAGCGTGGCTATAGGGGGCCTTGGTTTCCTGTGAGGTATGGGTATGAGGGTTAGATGATTTGATGATCCCAGAGGCTGCTTTCAGCGCTAATGCTTTGCTGCAGCTGAAAGCAATGGTTTGAGTTTCCCTCATGAGTCCTGAAAGATCAGGAAAACCATGTGCAGGAAAGACCGGAGTCAAACATGGTGAACGCCAACAAACTTGAAAATAACCACCCTTTGTCTTTTGATTTCTCCTGTATCTGGCCTCTGCACATGCACAGTAGCAGAGCTGTGCAGAGAACAACACTGAACAAAGAATCTCCAAGGAATCTTCAATTTCTGCCCTGCCCTTGAAGAGCAGTGTCTTCAGAGCTAGTCATTTTTCCTGCTGAGGCCTCAGCTTGCTCATCTGTAAAAGGGGATATTTGCTATCTTCCCAATTCATCAACAGACCCTTGCTCAGAGCCTGCTCTGTTCCTGGCGGAGTGGGGCTCAGTGGGGCTGAGGGAGATGGGGTAAAGGGAAAGAGGACAGAAAGAACTGACTGGCAGGAAGGCAGCCAGGAAAACAGGCAATCATAACATCCTGTTGTAGTATTGGGTGTTCTAAGGATGACAATTGGAGTAAGGAGTGCGTTCCACAATCTTCAAAACATCTTTCTCCTCTTGAATAGAAAGTGCCTACTTTCAAAGTCAATACTAAGTGTCCGGTAATAATTAGCTGCTGCTGACAGTCCCAAGCAAAAGGTGTTAAGCCCTACGCAGTTCAGGAGCCAAGGAAGACTAATTGTAGCTGACTGGTCATGTGACCATCGTTATAAAGTTTACAAAGTATGGGTCTAGTATGGGGGTGGGAGAGTGGTGGGATGAACAGTCCAAGAAGGCCACCCGCAGACCCGTGGAAATATACGGTTGAGGTAAATGAGTGAGGAGGCCTTCCAAAGCCATGGGGGAGGACGGCTGGATTGTCAGATCAGTGGTGCACAGACAATTGGCCAAGTGCTCATAAAGTCATAAAGCTACATCTCTGCCTCCCACCACACATCAAAAGATTCAATGCCTGTTAAAGAGTTACATGTAAATCAACCCAAGATTGGAAAATAACATTCAACAATACAGAATTGGTTAAATTATTGTATATGGGTACAATGGACTATTATCTTGTCCTTAATGTCATGTTTTAGAAGAACTGGCAATGCTTGCAACCTATTATTTTAAAAGCAGATTACAAAAATATATAGCTTATGACCAGTTTTGTAGCTTAATCCCCTACAATGGGCTGGGCCTGGTGGCTTATGGCTGAAATCCCAGCATTTTGGGAGGCTGAAGCAGGAGGATCCCAAATTTAAGGCCAGTCTGAGAAATTTAGTGACTTAGCAAGACCCTGTTTCAAAATAAGAAAGGGCTGGGGATGTAGCTCAGTGTGAATGAGTTCAATCCCCTGTACGCCCCCCATCCTGATATATATGGGATTGTGGACATTCATATTGTTTATGTATAGTGTATACTCACACACATATAAACACTATAAAAATGTTTATAGCAAAACATATCAAGTAATTTTTACTTATACATATTTCTTACTTTGTGTTTTCCAAATGTTCTACAATGGGGCCCAGGGATTTAGCTCAGTGGCACTGCACCTGCCTCACAAGCACATGGTCCTGAGTTTAATCCCTGGTACCGGGGTGGGGGTGGGGGGGGATGGAGACAAATATTCTATAGTGAACTCATTTTTTGTTGTTGTTTTTTGGTACCGGGGATTGAACTTAGGACCTTGCACTTGCCAGGAAGGCCGCAGCACCACTGAGCTACATCCCTGGCCCAACTCACTGTTTTTATAATATGAAAAAACAATACTTGTTATTTAGACAAATGTTCTATCATGCCTCTAATATGAAATAATTTAAGCACTCTGGTTAAAGAAGACAAATTTGGGGAGCAGACCTCATGAAGACTGGGAGCCCACAGGGCTGAGCCATCCTACTTTTCCCTAACACAAGGCCATGAACAATCACACTTGACTTTAAACCTCTGCTGGTGCCTGACAGCAGGTATGGCCTGTGTTTGTCTGGAAAGGAGACTCCTGGCCCAGAGGTGGAAAACTGTTCTTGTGCACTCCAAGATGGTCCGGGGTAGCTAACCTGATCTCATTCTTAGGGGAGAAGTAAAGTTGGTGATTAGTGTCCTATGAAAATTTTTCTCCTGTAAAGTTGTTAGGGTCTAAGGGTACACAGTTTAGTAAGAGAGCACTTGCCTGGTATGTGCAAGGCTTAGAGTTCAATCCCAGCACCACACACACACACACACACACACACACACAATTCCTTAAACATCTGATGTCCAGTTACTGATATATTAGCATCATGGGATATTATTGGATTTAGTATTGACTATATTTTTGACTCTTAACCGGACCACGCTTGCCTACTGAACTGGATCTCAAGAGAATGAAGACTCCCAACAATTTGGGCTTTTGTTGCCTGTAAATTCCCCAGGTGGTTCTGAAATTCATCAGCTCGAGACCCCTTTGTTGCATATGCCAGAGTGGCAGGTCTCAAACTGTGCTGTTATTACAATCACTCGTGTAGCTTCTAAAATTCCCAATGGGAAGACCATACCTCAGGCCACAGAATTCAGATGCTGTGGGGACCTATCAGGTGTTAAAGTTCCCCCAGGTCATCTCAACATGCAATTAGAGCTGATCCGGTGTTTCCAATGAGAGCAACCTGATACCAGCAGAAAATGCAGGGCTCAACCTTGACTGAACGACTTTGTGTTCTCTGTCTCCACCTGTTGACCATTCTGCCACACTGCTACAATTTACTTGGACTACTATTTTAAGGGATTCAAGATAAGCTGCTGCTTCTACTTTTATTTTGGTTCAGATTTTGTGTTATTTTTAGTGTGTCTGTGAATGTGGTTTCTTCCATTTTTTCAGAGAATTTTCTTTATTAGTCGTTTGTAGTACATGTTTACACCCCTTGTGGAGAGCTGGTACGTGTACATAACACTTCTTAGTTCCTTTTTCCATCCCCCTTCCCTTCCATCCTTCCCTCCTTTATCTATCTCTTGATCCCTTTCCTTTTGGGGGGGTACATGTTTGCAGTACGTAATATTTACATTCCTTGTGTGGAGTTCATACATGTATGTGTTTGTCGAGCAATGCTGCAGGCATTGCAAGGCCTAACTTCAAAATATACTAACAAAGCCATAGTAACAAAAACATGGTACCAGCACAAAAAATAGACACGCAGACCAATGGAACAGAAGATACAGGATAAACTCATGCTCTACAGCCATCTTATTCTTTTTTTTTTTTTTCTGGTACCGGGGATCGAGCTTGGGATCTTGCGCTTACAAGGCAGGCGCCGGAACCACTGAGCTAAATCCCCGGCCCAGCCATCTTATTCTTAAAAGCACCAAAAATATATGCTGCGAGAAAAGATAGCCTCTTTAACAAAACTGGGTACCTATATACCATGGGAAATTGAAACTAGGTCCCTATCTGTCACCTTGTAGAAAAATCAATTTAAAAAACTTAGGAATAGGGCCAGGGATTTAGCTCAGTGGTTTCGCTGCCTGCTGCACAAGCGCAAGGACCTGAGTTTGATCCCCAGTACCAAAAAACAAAAACAAAAACAATAAAAAACTTAGGAATGAGGGCCGGGACTTTAGCTCAGTGGTTCTGCCACTTGCCTCGCAAGCACAAGATCCCGGGTACCAAAAAAAAAAACTTAGCAGTGACACTTAAAACTATAAAAAAACCAGGAGACACTTGAAGTCACAGGCATAGGCAAAGACTTCCTGAATAGGACTTTAACAGCACAGGAAGTAATAGCAAGAATAAACAAATGGTACTATATCAAGTTAAAAAGCTTTTACACAGGAAAGCAAACGATCAATAGACTGAAGAGATAGCTTACAGAGTGGGAGAAAATCTTGGCCAGCTACTGTTCTCATAGAGGATTACTATCTCAATATAAAGAACTCAAAAAACTTAATGCCCCTGAAAACCAAATAGCCCAAATCAATAAATGGGCAAATGAATTGAAGACAATTTTCAAAAGTATCAATGGCTGATAAGCATATGAAAAAATATGCAACATCTTTAGCCATTAGGAAAATGCAAATCAAAACTGCTAAGATTCTACCTCACCCATCAGAATGGCTATCGTCAAGAATACAAAAAACACAGCTAAGATTAATAATAACAAGAATGAAAATGGGGAAAGGGTATTTAGAGGAAGAGGAAATACTTGGTACATAAAAAGCAGTCAATCAATGTTAGTTATTACCATTACAGTGAAGCCTAAATTAGACCCCAGTTAGACATTGTAATTCTTATATTCTTCTATTTTTTATTCATTTATTTTCTTTTTTTTGGCGGAACCTGGGATCAAACTCAGGACCTTGTGCTTGTCAGGCAGGTGCAGCACCACCGAACTACTTCCCCGGCCCTATTCATTTATTTTCTGACACTAAACATCCTGCAGAACCTCCCAGTCTGGGGATCCCACACTGCACCCTGATTCCTGGGCTCCCGGTTGTCCAGGTCAGAGGTTCTACCATCTCTGACTATGGCCATGGTAGGGGAACCATTCTCCCAAGGGGCTGAGCAAAGTTTAAATAGCTGCTGACCCATTCTAAATGAATGGTGGACAGACTGCTTCAGTTTCTAAGATTAAACCCCACATATCCTATACTCGTGCTTGGGTCGTCCTACTACTGGATTTGACATCTAGAAAGTATACAGAATAGTCACTGGTTTGATGATCCTAGGTGTAAGGCTTGTGATCCAGAAGAATCAAAATAAATGGTCAGGGTGTCTTCTAAAAAGCCTACAACAGCCCTTTTGGCTGTGTCCCCAGCCAGTGCCTGAACACTGCTTACGTGCTCCAGGGCCACTTTAACCATTTGGTCTCTTTCCTGCGGGCTGCGGGTGGCTCCAGAGTCTTCTCTCTCTGCTCCTGATTTTAAGAACTGTAGGATATAGGACTGGATCATATCCCCATTCATTTTAAGGGTTTCTTTGATGAAGGGAAAATCTGAGGCACTGGCCAAGCTCAAAAGATGAATCAATGCCTGGCAGATCTGGGTCCGGAGGCTGGCACAGTACTTGAATTCCAGAAAGTCTGTGGTGTCTTCACTCTTCTGTAAGGCCATGACCAGCGAGTTCCAGATCTGAGCATACTGTTCTACAGACCCATACTGCTCTCTCTTGCCTGGGATGGAAAGGGCTGTGGCCGATCTGATGCGCACTTTGAAGTTTTTGCATGATGTCACAACCAGTGTTAGGGCGTTGTAGGCCTGGGAGGTCCATGGTGCTATGCCTAGAAAGAATCCAGCCATTGAAACTAGTGAAGGTTTGGAATAAGAGGGGTGCACAGAAGAGGGGTTAGGGAAGCATGCTAAGCAGTGCTAAGATAGCTGTTTTATCTGCCCATTCCATTCTCACAGTAACCCTTAAGCTCAGCAAAGTGAGTGATTAACCTTTGGATCTCAGGTAAGTGGCTCAATATTGACCCCCAGCCACCACCACCCCCTTTCCCTAGACCAGCCTGCAGCATGCTTAGGGCCTCTACTATCCAATATAGGACCTTTGGTGACTTAGAAAAAGGCTTTTTTCTGGGAGGACTCTGTCTGAAGGGGCAAAGCTTGCTGTGAGGTACATGGACAGAGTGAACTATGCCCTCACCCTGGACATTGTTGAGTAGTATACAACTGGCACATACATATGCTGTAGCTCTCCGTTCATGCTAGCAAAAAGATATTTCCTCCCCCAGATTAGCATCCAGACATTGCTCTCACCACAGCAAGTATGCATTTCATTGCAAAAAAAATACAAAACTTCTGATTTCAAGAATAGGATGATCAGATTTATTTTTTCTATTCCTGTAGGCTGCAGGATATCAGCTTGATTTCCTCCTCCCCAGAGCTACTGCTACCTGTTCTGGGGAGTCCTTATTCTTCAGGATGGGCGCAGAGTAGAATGCAGCTTCCCTGCCTCTCCAAGCCCTTTCTCTCCTGCTTTGTTGCCTCTGAAGACAGGTGAATGGGCCTTTTCCAAATGGACACTATTGCCATTTACCAGGGGCCACTGTTCTAGGTCCATGAACCTTACCTGGTACCTCCTCTCTCCTTGGTCAGTTTCCTAGCTCCTTTTTCTTATGTGGCCCCTCATTGATCTGCCTCCTCAGTGGAAAAAGCCATGAGGTCTTTCTCCAGGAGCTTTGCCTCGCTGCTCTGCCTGAGTACTCTGGGCAATAAGGGGAGCAGAGCTTGACGCCCTCTCTTGGTGCATGTGCTCCGGGTCTACATGGCTTTCTCCTCTCAGACACACTCTTCTGAGGCTTCAAGCCTTAGCAGAGGCAGATGAACAAGGCAGATGCTGATGTTCACAATGCAGGGCTCAGGAGGCTGTCATCCATGAACCTGAGCCACTACCACTGACCCAAGGATATTATCAAGGGACATGTCCTGCCATGATGACATAACAGACAGATGCCCTCTTTATATGCAGCATCTACCTCTGTGTCAAGAGCTCATGGGACTTCAAATTTGTACTCTCTTTCTCTCACTCTAGTTTTTTCTTGATTGCTTAAACAATATATGCTCACCAAAGTTTTGTTTGTTTGTTTGGTACCAGGGATCGAACTCGGGACCTTGCGCTTGTGAGGCAGGCATCGGAACCACTGAGCTAAATCCCTGGCCATTAAACAATATATGCTCATTGTAGAAAATTTAGAAATGAAAGAAAAAAATCCTACTCATCATTCTATCCAGAGGCAATCATTGAAAATAATTAGGCCAATTTCTTTTCTTTTTTTCTACCCTATCTACTGAAATTGTAATTTAGACATGATATAATAACTTGCTTTATTTTGCTTAACCAGTTAACAGTTTACCCTGAGCATCACATGGGCAGGTGTCATTTCAACCATTTGATTTTTATACTGAATAAATTTGATAAATAGTCATTTTTACATTTCCTGTTATAAAAATTAACAAAAAATACAATTTTTGGTTAACCTGTAATTAAATAATTGGACTAGTAAATGGTTAACAAAAGTAGTTCCTCAGATTATAAAAAAACTGTAAATATAATTTTAAAAGGCAATAAAATACCCCACTGAATATATATACAATGATTTATTTCACCAATCTCCTATACTTGGGTTTCCAGTATGTTTCCATTGCTTTCTAATCCTGTGACAAAAACATGACAAACATCTTTAACAACAGTGTAGACTGGCATATGCCTACCAAAGAGGTTCTCTACCAAGGAGGGGAGGGAAACAATCTCACCGTGTGGAAGGGCAGGATTTTTAAATACATTTCCCATCGCGTAACAAGCATTCCATCGAACTTTCATGGCAGCCTCAATTAGAACAGTAGAAATTAGGGCCTGGATAGACTCTTCAATAATTTCAGCAAATCTAGGTTTTTCTATATGAGATGGCTGCAGAAAATGAAGCAAATTTCCAAGGGCCCGGACTGCATTGCTTTTTACCTAGGACAACATGTAAAAGCTTTAGAAATCTGTTTTGCTGCAGAGGTTTGAGAATGTATAATTTCCACTTTAAAAAGCCCAGGAGATTCTAGATTTCTTAAAGCAAGACAGCTAGTGAAATGTGCATCCCACTGTACGGATGCTAGTCCTTAGAACTCTGCAAGGTTATGTCTGGTTAACATGCACAATACATTTGAAAAGCATGGGCAAGGCAAGCCAGGACTTGAACCCATGTACACCTGACCTAAAACATGGCCCATGCTTTTAAAATGTACTGTGTAAATAAATACTCAAAGCCAGGGTTACTATGTCTTTCTAACTTGTCAGTTCCACTTAAATATAAACATTTAAAAATAACATTAATATTACAACAAAGATGAATATATCATGTAGTATTACAAAGGGCACTGATATTTTTCATGAGATAGGAGACAGTAAAGAAAATGTGCAAGTGTGGAGTGGGCCCTGTACACCCTGGGCATACTCTCTATCCTCTTTGAACAGGGGAACTTTTTGGGGAACAGTTTAAGGAATATTATACCACACTGAGCTATCAACTACGCTGCAACTGTGGCCACTAGGTATCTAAGCAAGAAGTACTAGGTTTTCTTGTGAGTCTACCTTGTCTTTGTCCTTGGAGGCTTCTATTGCTGATCGAAACATTTTCAAGAGCAGGAGACCAGAGAACTCTTCCTGGAAACTTGGGTCTGGTGTTTCCCTGTTCCACCCAAAGCATGTAAAACAGGTTAAAATGAGAGAAGTGAAAATTAAAACAACACTGGGCTGCAAATTTAGCTCAGTGGTTCCGCCACCTGCCTCACAAGCGCAAGGACCCAAGTTCAATCCCTGGTACCAAAAAAAAAAAAAAATTAAAACAACAGTGAGATTCCACCTTACTCCAGAAAGAATGGGTATCATCAAGAAATCAACTAACAAATGCTGGGAAGGCTATGAGGAAAAAGGAATCCTTCTATATTGTTGGTGGAAATGCAAACTAGTGTAACTACTATGGAAATATCAGAATGGAGATTCCTCAAAAAACTGAAAATAGAAATTCTATTTGACCTAGCTAGGTGTCTTCCTGAAAGAGTTAAAGGCATCACATTACAGTGATACATGCATACCCATATTTAGAGCAGCACAATTCATAACTGCTAAATCTCAAAAGTGGCCTATATGTCCAAAAACAGATGAGTAGATTAAAAAAAGTACATAATAGAATAATACTCTGCCATAAAGAAGGATAAACAGAGTCATCTGTAGAAAGATGTGTGCACTTCGACACCATAATGTTAAGTGAAATAAATCCAACATATAAGCTTAAATATTGCATGGTTTCTCTTACATGAGAAACTCAAGTTATAAATGAAGAGGAAAATAAAAGACAGATAATGGGAAAAGGGGAGACAGATCTTTTGCAAAAGGGAAGAGGACCAAAAGATAAAGGGAGGAGGGAGAGGGAGGGGATGCAAAAAAATAATTAGGATGTGGTATGTACATGTACCAACCCCCCATGAGGAATGTGATCATTATGTACTGCAAACATGTATAGTACTAATAAAAAAATAAAAACCAGAAAAAAAGGGTAAACAACACTTATATGTATATACTCACTAAATATAACTATAAAAACTTTAAAGAGCTTAAATCTGTTCAGATGATAGCAAGAATTCAGTATGTATCTTTTGACCCAGTAATTCCATATATAGTAATGTATCTAGAGAGAATATCTGAAAATAAAGATGTCACCCATAAAAATGTTCACTGTGTATAGAAGCCTTCAAGCCCGAAGCTAAAAACAAATGCTCAAGGCTGCTTAAGCATTTGAATGGTTAAGGACTCATGACACTGTCGAATATATCATAATAAACAAGAATTTATTAAAAGTCAGTAACAGAGAATGCTTATACTTATTACTTACCCGTGTCACTGATATGGAGTTAAATGACAGAAAGCAGGACACTTGTGTATGATAATAGGTAACTCTGGGGAGGGGAATGGGAGTGTTAGGGCAAGAGACTGGTTTACACTAATAGAGTAAGCAGCACCCCTGAGTACTGTTTGATGTTTTAAAACTTGTTAATATATTACTTAAAAAAATAGAAACAACTGTACTTTAAAAATAGGGTAACTTATGGTTCTGGATTTGTACTTTCTATTTTCTATCATTTGGATATATTACACATATCAGCACATGGTATTTTCATACATATATCTTAATATACGCCTCATATATGTTAAGAACAAGTTATTAAGCTTTGTCCGGTGGCTCACGCCTATAGTTCCTGGGAGGCTGAGGCAGGAGGAGCATAAGTTTGAGCCTAGTCTGGACAATTTAGGGAGACCCTGCCTCAAAATAAGTCAGTGTGAAGCCTTGGGCTCAATCCCCAGTATAAAAGAAAAATAGAACAAGTTATTAATCTTATTACTTAAAGGAATATAAAATAAGCCAAAGCAGTAAGACTGACTACCTTATGATGTGGTGAAAGATACCCTCTCGAGACTTCACCTCGGAAGTTATCCAGAGAAAACAAGCTAAGTCACCTACATGTTGGTGATCAGAGTGTCTGTCAGGTTGCCCAGGGACCAGGCTGCTTTGGCACGGACATTCAGAGACTTGTCTTGAAGTGACATCAATATTGCATTTGCTGTGTCTGCAACAAATATGACATCCTGTAAGATAAACCAAATGCTGCATTACTGTAGGAGTTCACACTGCTGCCTCTGAAATCCCCAAATTTATTTTCATATAAAGCTATCAGCCTTTACCACAAATTTCAATTTGGAAATCAAAAAGCATACTGTTCTTATATATTACACTCTGGACACTCCACACAATCCTAGGGAAAACTCCTCCTCCATGATTGGGTCTGTGTCAGGGATGGCAGAGGAGCCTATGGATTTTGCTCTTTGTGAACTTCCTATAACCTGGCCTGTGACAGTCATCTACGTGTGCTGTGCTTGAGTTGATTTCCACCTTTGGGTAACAATGTTTTGACAATACATTCTAAAACACATTCTATTCATTACACATCTCTCAGTGAATGTTATAAACAAGTAAAGGAGAATTTCATTTCTATAGTAAAACCTTACCAGGTTTCCAAATTATTACTATTACATGGTAATGTCCCTTTTCATTTCTATTCATTCATTAAGTTAAGCATTTACTGGGCATTGAGGGTCTTGGGCAGTGTGGTAAGTAATTAAAAATAAATGAACTATGGGTATTACCACATATATGTAGTAATTAAGAGAACTGGATCACAAAGCAAGTTAAATTTCTTCATTGTCTAACTCAAGAACTCTACATCCACAAAAAAAGACTGTAAAGAGACATACAAGTGCTAAACAGGATCACTCTGACCTGTCTGAGACAAGGAAAAAGCACATAGACTCCAAGGGCCCGTGTGGTTGCAGCTTTCACTAAACGGTTCTTGCTGTCGTTCAGCCCAAGCAGCATGGTGATGCACAAAATCTGCCTGTCATTCTGTAATGAGAAAGTTGATGAAGAGAAAACTGAGAATGAAATAACTATGAGCCAGTCTTCCACAAGTACTGAAATAAATCTGTTTGAGTTCCATAGTCAGGAATTGAAGACCACAGTGACCCTGAGGCTACACTGGTAAAGTCTGGGTTCAATTTGGATCCAATGACTGAGAATCCAGTTTGTGCAAGGCCCACATAGCACCACATCATATTTAACCTTTCTGCTGTGTAAACTAGGTCAATGCTTCATTAAAACTTTCTTTGTAGAAGCTAATTTACATAAATAAGAACAGACAAAAATATCACTGAGGACTACAGGAAAGGAGCCGTCTGAATACTGCTATGGTTCATGTGTCTTCCAAATTTGGGGATCCTTCCCTAAAAGGTGATAAATTATGGTTTAGATCTAGAATGTATTCAGAAACAGGGCTTTTGGAAGGTGATTGGATCACAGAGCACTACACTCATGGATTTATCCATTGATGACTTCATGGCTCAATGTGATGTTAGGAGGTGGGGCCTGGTTGGAAGTGGTGAGAGGAGCGTCAGTAGGGGTGTGACTTGGAAAAGTGTATTCTTGGCTCCTCCCTTTTCTCTTTGCTTCCTGGCTGCCACTGGCTGAGCAGCTTTCCTACCCTATTCCTTCCACCTTAAAAGTACACCTTCCACCTATAAAGTACAAATCCAAAACCTTCAAGTTACCCTTGCTTCCACCTTCTGCCTTGGAGCCAGCCAGCCATGGACAGAAACCTCTAAACCATGAGCCAAAATAAACCTCTCCTTAAAGTTGTGGGTGCCAGGAATTTTGTTCCAATGCCAGGAATGCTGACTAATATTTGATGGTATGAGGATGTGGGGCCTTTGGGCAGAGCCCTCATCAGTGGGATTAGTGCCCTCATGAATGAGGCCTCGGAGAGCAGCCTTGCTCCTTTTACCATGTGAACTAGAAGGCATCATCTGTGAATCAGTGGGTCAGCCCTTACTATATACCAAATCTATGGGAACCAATCTCAGAACTGTGAGACATTTCTGTTGTTTAGAAGTCCTTCAGTTATGGTATTTTATTACAACAGCCCCAAAATGCTAAGACAAATACCATACGCATTAGGAAACCAAACCTAAGTATTTTCACATACTTTACATTATTTCTCACATGACTTCAATCTTAATATAATTTTCAGAGAAGTTAAAATAGTCAAAGAAATAGAAAATGTAAGAGTTAGGACTTAAACCCAAGTTTTTATAACTCAGGGTAAGAAATCTTTCTGAAATCTCTCTGCCTTCAAAGCTACTTACTTCTATCACCTACTTTCTAAAGCACAGGGAGAAACAGCTTTCCCAACAGATGAAGATTTTACTAAGTTTTCCTGTTTGCTGTTGCCCACTGTCCCCAACCCAAACACAAGCAAGAGAAGCTCTTTTTCTTCAGAGCAAGTGTCCAAAATGGTTCAAAGTAAAAAAGGATCAATCTTGAGCTCAGACACTTTAGGCATGGTTTGAAGGTGAGGAAACATAGCTAGAGTTACCGGAAGACTGCTGAAGGCTTCCGGCAAGATGGCAGACAGGGCATCACAGGCGCTCGCCTGCAGCGTTGGGTGCTCTGAACTCTGCAGGGCTCGGGGCAGAGGACCATTCAGCATCATAGTCCAGAACATCACCACCTGAAAGAGTGTATGAAAACAAAATATAAACGTTATGCAAAATCCCTATCACAGGGCTGGTATACCGGGGACATTCTTAAATTGTACAGTAGGCTTTTTTTTTTTTTTTAACATTTTGAAGAATTATCTCACTTCAAAACCCCTCAGGTAGGCATCTGAACACTCTTCCTCCCATGCTTTATAAAAGACCTGGGATTTCACATTCATTTGAAAATCCATCTATGGTTTTGGAAGCTTCAGCTTCTGTCCCATGGACTTTGTACTGGGTTTGGCTGTATATTTGTGGAACAAAATACCTAAAAACCCAGTTTAGTCCCTCCTCACCCCAGTCCTAAAGAATGTGGATAGAAGATGTGGTCGCCAGCTTTCAGGGGCTCACAATTATTCTCACTTATCAATATTTACACTTCCGTGCAGTCCTCTCACACACTGAGTAGGGCTGACATGTGTAACCAATAGGATGTGGTAGAAATGACGGCGTGAAACTCCAAAGTCATAAAAGATACTATAGCGTCTGTCTCACTCTTTTTCTGGAGTCACCTGCTGTGGGAGAAGCTACCTGCCATGTCAAGAGAATACACAGGGAGCTCTGTGGAGAGGTCCGCTTGGGGAGGATCTGAGGAAGCCTTCTGCCAGCAGACAACCCCAACTGGCTAGGTACATGAGTGAGCTACCTTGTAAGATCTCAAAACCCTTGGACAAACTAGGTGGACAAACCACTCCAATTCCTGACCCACTAAAACTCTGTGAGAGGATAAATGTGTATTGCTTTAAGCTGCTATATGTTTAGGGTTAATTTACTACTCAGCAACAAAAGAAATACTATGGAAAGTCTGTGTCTTCTCTAGAGTTGAAACAACTGTGAACAGTTAAGATGCTTGCCCACAGCCACGTGGCTAGCAAGGGACGAAATTTGAATACCAACCTAGTTCTGAGTGATAGCAAAGCCCAGCTGGCGTCCCTGTGACTAGTTACACGAAAGCTGTTGTGGCAGCCTCAGGAAAGGACAAGGATTAGACATTTTTATTCACTGAAGAATAATGAAATTGTTAAGGGGGAAAAAAAAGATGAGGGGGAAGAAGGAGGAAATATCACCAACACTTAGTTGACTGCTTTTGGCAGTGAGTAGAAGCCTTTTTTTGGCGGGGGGGGGGGATCACATGCACCTCATCCAAAGAAAAACTGGCACAGTAGGGTAACAGGAACAAGATGAGATCACAGGAATTGAAAAGGAATCATTAGGGGAGGGTTGAGGGGGTTACGGGAATTGACATTCACTGAGCACCTAGTGTGTGCCAACATCCTTAGATTTCATTCAAGGTTTCTACAGACTTGTGATTTAAGGATTTTTATTCCTCTTTAAAATGAAGAGATTATGCTCATAACTACAGAGCCATTACATGTTGTTCTTCAGATTTGATCTTATGCCTTCTACTTTAAAATCCTTGACTCGTTCTGCCATCTTCAGTAGGCTGAATAGCCAAGCTAGGTTTCATGCAAAAGAACTGTTGTTTTTCCCATTGCTGGTTGTATGATACATACAATTCTACTACATACTGAATTACAAATAAAATCTATTAATGCTAATTTTACATCATGCTAGATTATAAACTGTAATTTTTGACATTGGAAGAAACCTTTACCATCTATCCCACTTTATCCCTAAGCCTCAAAATAAAACAAATTGAAGCACTAAACTGTGAATGGGCATGGACTTACCATGAAGACTGGCACTCTCTGCTCAGGTGCTACTGCAGAATCTGGTTTATGCTGCTGTATCAAGCCTGTACCTAGTTCTTCCAGAAGCTGCCAAGATTAAAGAAATAACTGTCAAAGCGGAGCATTAGAACTATGGGGTTATAAACAAGTTCACCTCAGTTTGGAGATCATCTCAAATCTAGGGGAAAAATAACTTCTAGCTGATTTTTCTTCTCTTTTCATTAACACCTGTAAAAGAGATATTCTTTCAAAGAGTAAAACCAACAGCTACACATTAATTTATTACCAAATCGGTTCTTCACGTTTATAGGTAAGCACTGAAAATAGAGGACTGTATGTATTCCTTACCTGAAATCTCTTTAAGAAATCTCAGAAGAAAAGGCTTTTAATGAAATTACCTTTGCTCCATGAAGCTGAATGGATGGATCTGCTTCACTCACGCACTTGCAAATCACCTCACCAAGCTCCATCAAGTAGACCTGAGCCACTGAAAAGTAGCCCCGGGCCAGGTGAGCCAATACCTACGGAGAGCAGGGAATTAATCCCAAGATCTGAATACTTCAGAAATCACGCCACTTAAAAGGGGGCTGAAATATGATGTTGAATTAAATGAAAAATATTGTATCATAATTTTATGATATTTTATAGTTTGTTATTGTGTTTCATTAATATTATCTCAACTCTTAGGATAACTCTTTTAGGCAGGTAATAATTGAGCTCACAGAGGAAGAAACTAAGGCTGAGAAGATTAAAGGGAGTGTTTAATGTTATCCAGGTAATCAGCAGCAGCCTCCAGGACCAAGCCTGTGCTCAGACCATATCTGAGTTTAGAAAAAGCAATTCTTTAAAATCTAGGATTATTTTCTTCTTCTGAAGGAGCAGTTATTTTATCTGTATTAAGCACACACAAGACAAGCCAGAAGTTTATCAAGAACTACCCAAGCTGCAGTAATGAAAGATTAACTGTGTAATTCCTTTCCGAATTACTGCACAATTATAGCCAACTGTCATAGAAGACCTGGGACAATTACAACAGCTTCCAACAAAAGAACAAAAAGGAATGAACCTGGCATTTTACAACCCAGGAATCCCCACCCCCCAAACAAAACAACAAAACCACCTATACCACCTCTGTCCTGACATGGCTTGGTTCCCCACAGTCCCTGTCCCCGCTCCTCAGGGTCACCCTGGGCAGAAGGAACCTTCACTGTGTCCAGAGCAGGAAATGCAGACGCCTACCTGTAAGGCCTCCAGTCGCATAGGGGATGGTTCGTAAGTGCTTCCTGCCACAGGGCCAGTGTCACTACCAGAGCAGGATTCCTCCTTGGGCAGCACGAGAGTGGAAATGCAGAGTCGGATGAGCCAGCAGGGCTCTGAGTACCCCTTAGGGGAGCTCCCTGCTGCTTCTTCCGGAAAGGGTCCCACTGGGGCTTTCTTCCACCAGTCAGGAGTGCTGAGGTGAGGAGTCGCAGAATTGCTATTGCTGAGTCCAGAAGAACAGGGCTGCTGGAGAAGTA